GTTTAATTTATGCTTTATGGACTGTTAGTTAGTCTTTGAAGAAGTAAAACTGCCTCAGCGTTTGTCATTGAGTAAATAAAATAGGGCTGACGACTAACCACATCAACGCGATAAAGCGGGCTAACCCGTGTTAGGATTTACTCAGTGTTAAAGCATTATTGTGGCTTAAACGTGTTAATGCCGACATCGCGACTAACGTGATTAACAATTAAACCAGCGCAGTCTGAGTCAAAATCCCTGATGTCGCTGTCAGCTAATTTTGGGCAGGTTGTCCAATGTCTGTCCATTCTGCTGACAGCCCTAAAATAAAAGCAAGGGGTATAAGTGTATTTAATCGTGTATTTATTTATATGCCTGAAGAAAAAACTTCTTACAGTTTTGATGCCTAAGCTTTCTCAGTGCTTGTATCACTCTCTGCAGTCGCCATTACAGAAATGTCACATGTTGCCATTTTGAGAACTAGGCCTTTAACATTTTAAAAGAAGGCATAAATTAGGACTATGAATAAGTCAGCTGTGTTTATGCTGTAAACTACACTACTGCTAGTTCTGCTACTACTGATGATGATGACAATGATGACAATAATCGTAATACTTTATATGCTTTGGTAATACAGGCAATCAAAACGTACAGGAGAACATGCGAAGGAGACGCATTCCTCCACGGGAGGATGCAGTCTGTCATGTTTCTGCTGGAAGGGACAAACTGGGACTTGATATCCACTACATAAATGCCTTCAAAGGTAAGTTGGTCTTTAGTTTGGATTAGATTTGGAGTTTGTCACTTTGTCTTTTGTCACTCACTTGGTATGCCTCTGCAATTCAGGTCGGGGCATTTTCACGACTGTTCTATTCCAAAAAGGAGACTTCCTTTTGGAATACAGAGGTAAACTCATAACAAAAGAAGAATGTGAGCGGCGACACAAGAGTTTATCATGACAGCCTGAAGGTGTTCATGTTTGAATTCAAGTTTGATGGAAAACTCTGGTGGTGCATATTATATCAGTGTAGTTTGATTAAGATTAAATTACACATTGCTTTTGATTTATGAAAAAAAAGCTTACTAACAAAAACTAGTTAAGCTAATACTTTTTTGCCTAACCCCACAGTGTGGATACATCTCAAGAAGATGGGTCATTAGGCAGACTTGTCAACGACAACCACATCAGTCCAAGTGCTAAGATGAAAATAAAAGTCCAGGCGAAGAAATAGACTATAATTATGGTGACTCGGATTGGCCCTGGAGATGCAAGGTATTTCTACAATTGTACTTTTTGGAACTGATAAATTGCATACCATAAGCCATTTTTACATTTGTACCTACTCAAATTGGCTTAACGTGACTTAGGGCATCTAGTTTTCCACTGAAA